AGTCTCTTTCTTGGGAGAGGTAGCATTCATTTGGCTTGACCATAGAACAAAATATTATGCCAACTATGATCCCGAATACTTCCCTGATATTGAGTTCATCCCTGCCAATTTACCAGATGGATCCGAGTTCTTATCAAAGCATTCACAAGTAAGTACTTTCCAGTTCAAAAATAGTATCAAAAATTTACTTTTCATAAGGTCTACTTCGATCCGGGCTGTGCAAACCTGGGATTTGCCGTCGCTCGTGAAGATATTAGAGAGGAAGTATTAGATAAATTAAAGATTTCTCGATATCCTCCGGCTCCTGCGGCTATATCTGCACTGTTATCTACGTCACCGAATACGAAAGAGAAGGCAAAAGAAGTATTCGAGTATTTATCGAACCTCCAAGGTACTCCTATACATCTATTCTCGCTTCCATGTCTCACACTCTGATAGATATCTCTCCTATTGAGCTCCAGCTACTTCAAAATAATAGTTTCATCCCTGTTCAAGAAGCTGGCTCAGAGAAATGGATAATGGTCAAACCAAATGAATGCTACCTCTCCCAAGAAAGAGACTCGCGGAGTTTCCATTGCAAAATGTTTACATTTATCGATTTTGGGGCAAGAGCCAACTATTTCCTCGCGATTTGTGGTGTCAGGAATCTTCCTACCATTGACGACATTGCGAGGATGCTTATCAAGAAACCTCAGCAGTTCCTAGAGGTATCTGGAGGCCCTTCCGAGTTCGTGATTCGAAGCAAGTGTTGACGTTCGATGCTACTGACTTATAACGTTGTATTAGATTTAAACAAGAGCTAAAAAAGATAGCAGTCCATTCTCATGAGATAAGCGACGAGACCAAGAGTTTGATGGCAAAGGCACCTATTCTCATTAGCGAGAAGAAGGTTGCAAGGAGTACTGGCAGTTCCCAGGGCCCAGAAGGCTCGACAATGTCTTATAACCTACTTCCACCTGACCATGTGAGTGGTACAAGAAGCTCAGTTATAATTACTAATACGAATTTTAGATTCTCATTGTTGATCATCCTAATATGTATGATCAATTCTGTGACATTATAGACCCTGCACCTCAAGAAGATATATTAGAAAGGTAAGCATATAAAATAACGCCATGTTTTAATCTCAAAGGGGGGATTAGCCTCTATACGTCCTTAGGCTCATTGCCCCTTACTCAAGCTATTCAAGAAGCATATCGACCGATAGGCAATCCACGAGATATTACCAACGACTCGATTATCCGTAAATTGATTCTGGAGAGGTTACTCCTATTTTTCTATGGAAGAGAGCGTAGTTCGAGTCGGATCCCGTTGAACTGGATGGAAAATCCTTCGTAGTTTATTTCCTTTATCCCTCTGGACGTTTTTGATTTCCATTCCTAGAAACTTTATATTGAAGCGAGTCCCACAATTGGTACTTGAAAGGAGCCTTAATTGGAATGGAAAGAGGGCGACGAAGAGCTCAGAAGCATCCGCTGGTATCGTTAAGGATAGATTGACGGGTTCACTCACTCTGTTTATTGCCAATAATATTCCGTTGGACTGGTATGAGTGAGTTCATTTACTTCGATTATGTCCCCACAGTGATATCTAATTCGTGGCTATATAGAGTAGCAAATAGCCTCTGTAAAGAAATGATCAAGCGACCAAAGGACAATGATATTCTCTTACTCAATACTATCCTGTCAACAGACTTGGCCAGCCTCAGGCGGCGTGGTTACAATGGTGGGTG